TGCAAATTAAGTTTTGAGACATTGTTATGCAGTCTGAGAAATTTGTAAAACTGTGTTTTGCGGTAATTTCTTAATAGAAGATTCAATGACTACTTAATTCTCCCTTACTAAAAAAAAAAGTCTGATTGCTTTCTACTCTGCAGGTTTATCTTTCACAGGTACCGATAAATTGCACACTTCACAATGATGAAAAAGTTCCAATAGAATTACTGCAATAAATTTTAATTTTAAAGCCCAAAAGAATATTTAGATTTTGCTCAGGTGCAATGCTATCTTCCTTCCATCGGATTCAGAAGTTATAAAAGCATGCACGCTTTCTGTAGTAGCAAGTCTGATACTGAGAACCCTCCTATACTGACTGCTGCTGGACTAAAGAACACAGTCAGATATTCATAAAAATGCTCTTTCTGTAGTAAGAAACAAATGTGTTCCCAGCAACAGTTAATGCACACAGTTTGCTTTCATTTTTATATGCTTCAATCCAAATGTATCAGGCATGAAAATAAACTGTGTAAATACACTGCAGTTTAAGTCAGAAATAATTTTAAATTAGTGGCCAAAGAGAGAAGGACACGGCAGTGTTATCTTTTGCCTCCGATGACCAGAAAGGCTTCCCACAACAATACATTTAACGAAGCAGAACACTCGGAATTAAAGTTTTCAGGGCACTCAAAACACACCAACTTTCACACGCATTGTTTTGAATCCCCTTCAATCTGTACCAGTTCACCCGCACTCAGACTTCAGTCTCTTCTTTACAAACTTTTCTAGATAGCTCTGGAAGGCTTCGGACTGAACTCTTAACCAATTTAAAGACTCTTTGTTTCCCTCTGCGGCACCACAAAACAAAAGTGATGCTTTCTGTACTGAAGAAAAGCATTTTTATTCCCCCCTCGCCCCCAACATCTAGGATTTTTAAAAGTGAAAGTCATAAAAATAATCTTCATCCCAACATATTTTCAATCCTCTTAAAACACTCTGAACAACTAAATATAGTATGAAATTAGCTCTCGCCTCTTCCTCTTGTTCCTACACAGAATTTTCTAATGTGTCTCACCAGTAATAAATTGTAAACGAGGCTATGGCTCTAAGAGTAGACAGTGTGTTTCATGGGTATTTAAACAACAGCATTAAGTACTATAGGAATCTGTGGAATGCGGAGTGCAGATTTATGTGTCTTAACAATTTCTCTACTGGTTTGTAATAAGCCAGCAAACTAACGCTTTATTTTTATATTAATCTGGCCTCTGAAGTAGAGTATACTGGAGCATGACAAGAACAACAAAAATAAACTGGCACATACTTAATAACTGTAACAGTGAATTGCCTCCAATACTAAAATATTTATCGAAACTGAGGGAAAAAAACTACAAAGAATTACCCTCCACAGCCTGCTACCAGCTCTTTAACAGTGGGCAACGTAATGCCTTAAGGTACCTCAAACTGTCTTTCATTTTCCAGACTTAATGGCTGATTGCAGAAATCAATGTTGCCATTAGTAACAGAGTATTTGTTATGGCATGATTTCCTCTGTTGTTAGACTTGCAGAATGATTACAGTATTAGTGAGGTGCTTTCTTTATAAAGGGCTGAAGATATAACTTTCAATTTACTATCCATTAGTAAGTGACTTTGGAAATATAGATGAGGCCAGAAATCTTACCTGTTATTACTTGGAGATTTTATTTCAGCAGTCATAGGCTAGTAACTTTAAAAATTGTACCAGGAAGCTCAATATTTTATAGACATCTCCAAAGAAATATTATCTGCTTTGCCATTTTATACACAGCAAGTTAACAAGACATACGGTTCAATTAAAATGTTTCAGTTCAATTTCTACTTTTCTTGCACTTTGAAACAGATGCAAATTATGCAGAAGGTTTCATACGTGTTAAAATGCGCACATAAGTTAAAAGATTGTCAAAAAGTTAGTGCTTTGTATTTCCTGAATCTCCTCTTAATCAATCCGGTAGCCAGGTGCAAGCAAATATTTCAGCTAAGCAAGTGATACGATTGTGGGAATCAGGAAAATCAGAGAGGTCAGCTAACACGCTCCTCATTAGTCATACTTCTCTGACCAAGATCTCAAAGAAGGCATTTATCTTCCACCTTTTACGTGGTGGGAAGGGAAAGGTCTGCAAGAGACACCATGAACAGAAGAGGAAAACAAAAAGTCCTCCAAAATGTGGGGGAAGAGGCCCTTGCCGTGACATTCCCACTTGGTGTACATACAGACCCTATATGCTGCTGCCGGTGGCGTGGCTGAAACGACAGCTGAAAGACTAGGAAACCTGCCCTTGGAGGAGTGAGAGGGTGAGCCAAGAATTAACCTCAAAGGCATTGAGGGAACCCAAACACAGATGTTCTGGCGTATAACACCGCGTCTCTGTGGACCATTAGAAAACGACCTAACCAGAGAATGCATAAACAACTTTGCTGCTGTGATTTCAAATAGAGCTACTACGTTTTCTGCGCAGAGAGGGAAGGAGAAGTCATCATACCTGAAGAGGAGGGCGAGGAAGGGTGTGGACTGTCCTCCTGGGCACTCCCCGTCTGTGAGAGACCCCCACCTACTCCGCTTTCTTCAGTAATGTTAGAGGAGCCTGGGGTCGTCGACCTGCTGACAGACTGCGACTCTTGATCGCTGCCAGATCCACGACGCTCATCAAGACTCCCTTGGATTATTTCATCTTCTCCTTTCCTGTCTCTTTTGTGGACCCTGGAGTGCACAACCACTTGGTGGTACGTTCTAAAAACCCTCCCGCAATCCGGGCATTCAGTTGGCTTTTCTTTTACGTTTCCATGACTTTGTAAGTTGTAATCGAGTCCCTGGTTCATACCATGTGACAAAAAATCTCTACTGCCTTCTAAAGGGTCTAGTTTGCTTGGCAAGTCTCTCTGATTGCCCATTTTAGTGCTGTGAACCAAATCAGCAGGCATTTTCTGCTTAGAGCCATCTGCTCCTACTAACACATACTCCCGCTTCTCCTTATCAAACATAACTCCAGCATTTGCCAAAGTGTCTTCATGGCTGCGCTGTATCTGCTGCTCTTTAGACAAAAAGCCATGTTCCATGGCCATTCCCCTTGCCATAAGCTGCCAGGCCTGATAGCTGTTTACTGGATCCATCTCCGCTGCTTTGGCGGCAGCTTGTAACCTTTCTATACAGCTGGATTTCAGAGGAGGCACCAGATTGAGACAGCCCAATAAAGAGTGTTTATCCCCTTCAGCAATACTGTGGCCAATGCCAGAAATGGGTGAAAGGAGCTTTCCCAAGACTTCCTTCTCTTTCATGGGCATGTCTCCTTTGTTATAGATTTGATTTTGTTCACTTAAGCTCGCTTTGTCAGGAGGAAGAAACCCACTCTGCAAACAAGACAGGTATCTCGAATACAAGTTTGCATGAGCTTCCTGGGACATACTGCTGATGGAGACAGGTACTTCGGGATCATTAGGAGATTTGTTCTTGACAGATAACTTATTCAGGTGAACTTTCATGTGATTTTTAAGGAACCAAGGCTCTTTGAATCGCCGCCCGCAGATCTGACAGCAGTGTTCAAAGGAATCCTTGTGCTTCCTCATGTGGCCTTTTAGGAACCAGGCTTGGCTGAACACTTGGCCACACACCTCGCAGCGGAACTCATTGGTGGACTGCTCCCCATTCCCATTGGAGCCCTGGCCCTGCGCTGACTCTGCGGTTATGTGAGCCTTCTCAACGTGGCTGATCAGCTCCTCTTCCTGTGAGGCAGCAAAGTCGCACAGGGTGCACTTGTAAGGCTTGTGCAGGATCCTTATGTGCCTGTCCAGCTCTTCACGCTTTTTAAACTTGCCTTTGCAAAATGTGCATCTGAACCCAGCTGTCTGAGCAACAACTTCTTCCTGGACACTGACTGGCTTTGGAGAGGGAACAGGGTTTGAAATATCAGGTGTGTTGTGATTAGCTGGCACAGACAAGTTGCAATTTGTGAGAGGCATTGGCTGAGCATGCTGCTGTGCTTTCACATCAGGTCGTGGCTGCAAGAGGCTGCTCTTCATCTGCTTGTCCCGAAGAATCGCTCTCTCCTCCAGCTCATGTAAAAGTCTGTTTTCCTCTCGGACTCTTCCACGACCTTTACCAAGGTTGCCAAGTTTATGAGTACGCAGGTGTATCTTCAGGTTGCCTTTCTGAGCTGCTCTGTGATCACAGTATGGACACTTAAACGGTTTCTCTCCAGTATGAGTGCGCATGTGCAGCGACAGGATGCTGTTAAATCGAAAGCGCTTTCCACAGAGGGGACACGGGTACTTTCTGTTTTTCCTGGCATCATCCTCTATATCGCTCATCTGAGACATAATCCCTAGGTTTTGTCCATTTAAGAACTGCTGCAGATCCACACGCCCATTCAAACTGGTGTCAACCTCTCTGTTGAGCTGGTTTGCTAACAGGGCCATCTGACTGCTGATGGGTTGGTTTGCTATGGACATGTGGCTTTTGTCTTCTAGTGGTGCTGATGCCTTCTCTTCTGGATTCTGCCTGTTCTGGAGCTCCGGAAAAGCATGGCTGAGCTGGGAAGTGATCTGGTGCAGCTTCTGGCTCATTGAATACTGCCCATTGAGTATGGTGCTGTTGAGATGGGCGTCAGCTTCTGGCACAGCTGAAGAAACACCAAGGCACAAACTAGCTTCCTCCATCTCTGAAAATCAGAAGATATTTTAGATTCAGACTGTGAAAGAGTTACAAGCATTGAATCACTGACACACAATTCGCATTCTCTGTTTCACCTACTCATAATAATGCAAAGGAATTAGTGTAAAAACCATAAAAAGTGTGTTAAATGCAAACTATGCTATGCAATTGTGAACATGTATGTGCTTTCATCATTTTGTATGTTTACTGACAAACATTAATTACTATTTAAAATTATGCTATGATTTCAAAATCTAATTATTATGGAGGGGGCGAGGGCTTTTACCATCTCCCTTGTCTTTCTTCCTGTGAAATTGCACCTGTTTACGTTTCTAAATCTATACTGAAAGAAATGTTATGCATCTCTCCCATTTCCATCAGAAAAGCCAGCAAAAAAAAAAACCCACAACAACAACAACAAAAATAGAAATCCATTTGTAACTTTCAGTTCCATTAACCATATTCTATATATTACACATTCTAAAATGAGAAAGATAGTTTTATGATTTGACAAAAAACGATGGTATGATATTTACTGGTGTACAATAAAACAAGATAATGTTTTGGGAAAAAATAAAGTAAAGGACAAGCTTTAGAACAATAAAAGGGATTTTGCTTTAGTCAACAAAAAGTGCAGTAATATCTCATTAAGCTGATTAGTATGCTGCTTAGAAACAGTACTAGGTGCTGTAACACATGATTATAATCATAAAAATCCTTCAGTGTTTGCAAGTAAGCATTAACAAGGTATATTAAATTTTAAGGAGACTGCGACTAGCAGCTTTGTAAACCTCTGAGATTAAGATTTAACCCTTCTGTTACAAAACATTGTTATTTTGTCATTTTGAAATTGAGCCCATCAAAAGGCACATAAATTATCTGCTGCCAAGTCTCTTAATTCATCATTGAGAACCTTCAGATTTCATTTCTTACGAAAACTTGCCAGATTATAGAGGAATATCTTTGTCCTTCGATGGGTAAAACATGTGATTTAAGGCACTTTGATTTGTTTTAAAGAGCTCTCTTATGGAACTAGATAAAACCAATTAAAATCTGGGGAAGGTGTTGTGGAAAGCCTCAACAAGTTTAAGAATTTTAATAACTTTCCTAATACGCAGTAATGACTACAAATTGTACCCACACTATGTATACTGCAGAAAATTAGAATTCAAAGCTGTTTGTTAAACACAAGTGCTCGGTTCTGGTCTGCATAATTGTCCACAATAATCTTCTATCTTTGCCACTTCTCTACGCTACAAAGAAATAATGTATCTGTAAAATTCTATTTAAAATAAAAAGTTTTACATTAATAACTCTCAAAAAATATGAAGCTGTAAGGTTATATTGGATCATAATTAAGATCTGTGTTGTTCAGTGAAGTCATATGACACATTACTCACTAGTAAAATTACTGAAATCTATATGTTATTGAATAATTAATCTGGAAAACTTCTGTTGGGCTTTACCCGAAAGCACTTATTCACTCTGCGTTCCACGCTCCAGGTGGGCACTGTTCCTCTCGCTGCTTCATACTGGTCATTTGCTAGACAACTGGAGGCTCAAATCTGGCATATACCTTAAATGTATGTGATTGTGCCTATGGGAGCAGTCCAGTGGACTTCACAGGATGACTCCTGAAAGCAAAGTTCTACACATGCTTAAGTCTTTGCAGGATGAGGGCCTTAAACAAGCTTGGGTGGTCTCCAAGAGAAGATCTATTTAGTTCTCGACAGGATGAATGAGGTCATGTAATCCAATGCAGATCTTGCAAGAAAAAAGGGGGAAAGAGACATTCACACGTGTATTCAGGATGAACGTGACCCACAAAATTTTGATGACACGTAAGCAGATTTTTTGAAAGCTTCAACACTTCACTTTCAGGTGTTGTGTCAGGACCCATCAATAATATTTATAAAATATTAATGAGATAGAGTATGTCAAAGTAAAAGGCTTATACACATAAGCTATAGGACTGCACTTAAGTTTGGCTTAAAGTGTCTGATTTTCAAAGATAGGGAAACATGGTCAAGTCAGGAGTTCACCCAAGCCCACGTAGTAAATGAATAAAATTACTGGTTCTCATGCAAGTTTACTTTGTTTGGGTACATACAAACACATTCTTTTAACATTCTGCAAGCTTCCTTAACTTTTGAAACAAACCAAATTGCACATTCAAAAGGAGCTGTAGTGTGTAGGTCTACTACTGCCTGAAGTTGACTGACATTTCAAACTCTCTCTACTCAATTCCTTTAAATAAAAAATCTCCACCAGCAACACTGAAATGGACTTTTTGTCTAGACTGCACATACTGCAAGTGTTGCCTCTCTTTGCCAGTTAAACAAAACAGAATCATAGACTATCCTGAATAGGAGATGACCCATAGAAACCATTGAGCTCAACTCCTGGATCCACAGGAGTTCACCCAGAATTCAATCCACTTTACATGTACATACGCAGACATATATTGAAGAGGGGTTGGTAAAGTCTTTCTAGGTTGTCATTACCATTATTATGTAACAGCTTCAAAAATGCAGTCTAAATTTCATTTATTCACTTGACCTCAATGGGAACTGGTGCTTTTACATGCTTAGGAAGGTTTGGATAGTTAATTTCAGCATTTTATGCTCTATCAAAGTCTGGAAATGCTGACAGATCCCAGTGGAGATTATTAATTCTGATTTTTAACCCTAAGCATCAGTTCAAACCTATAAATATTTGGACTGAGGAGGGGAGTTGTGGTTGAGATTTTAGGCTATTTTATAGCTCTTCTTCAAATATAACTTTATTAAAGTATCAGCAGTAGTTACATTTTAAATAACATAACTTTTTCTAACATTTTCTTTCCCTTGCCTGGAAAACACACAGATACAATATAGGATAAGTTGGGAAAAAAAATTCATTTAAAAACTAGCGTTTTTAAATCAGCTCTGAGGAGTCTGACCAATACACGTTGATCTTTTGGCACTGGAAATTTTGCTCATTTTAGACTTAGCATGCAGAAAGGTCAGCAAAGCTGCTGTTTAATGAGAAATATCCTCCCCTAAGTGCCACACTCTGATCAGCCATTCAGTTACCAAGATCTAGTTATTGGCAATCTCAAAATGCTAGAGATCTTCACTTAAAATGTATTCACATCCTCATCTGCTTGATCTGCTTCTACTCCTGTCTCCTGCCTCTGACTCAGACCATCTCTTCTTTGTCCTATTTCTACCTGGTTTTGTTGCACAGTATAATTACGTAAAGTATTTCCATGTGAAATCTTTCCTCCCAGTGTTTCCCAGTTAGTGCCTCTGGGATCTATTCAGCTCTTGCATAAGTCAGGCTCTCGGTATTCTTCAGCCAATTCGCAGCAAAACCTACCAAAACCCCATTTCCTATCCATACACAAGACAGAAATAAACTCCTCTTCATCAATCATTCCATTATGAATTACATAACCCAATTTAATTTGCCTAATTTCTCTAAAAAAAATCCCTTCGTTCTCTCCCTCTTTATCCATCATCCCTGCCTGTTTCTCTGACCAGACGGGCTACCCCAGATGGGACAAAGGGCCCCATGGAACCTCTAGCTGCTGCTCTCCTACTTCAGGCAGCTCAAGGTTCCCACCTCTGCTGTAGATTCTCTCCAGCTCCTCAACCTTGTGCCCAGGTTTCTTGCCTCCCCAGACCAAGACACCAAATATGAGGAAAAAAAATAATCTGGAAACGTCAATTTGTAAGTGATATTGTGAAGTTTGACAGTACCTCCCACCTACCCATCCTATCCTGCAGATAGCCTAGATGCTATTTCCCCACATACTGTGAGGACCACGAAAAGGTCATGACAGATGGAAAGCTGGATTATGAACTACCATAAAAGCTGAAGCCCCGCAAAGCAGCCTGGCTCTAGCAATCTGTTTGGAATCATAACCACCCAAACCTTCAAGAAGCTCCAATACTACAACATAATCTTCACTTCACATCTGAACATTTTTGCCCAAAGTGATTTCATTTTTCCTCAATTTTTTCCTCAAAGCTCACAATTACCCAAATGGACAAATAATGTCTATTCAGTTTATTCACAATACATTTGTGCCTGCGATAAAGTGTTATTTCCACTGAAAACCTGGAAAGTATCTGAATACTTGTAATTTCCCCATTCCTCTACTTGACAAAATAAAATAAAATAAAAATAAAGGAGGAGAAGCTAAGGATCACTTAGAGGTATTTCTTGAATGCTGAAGTTTCTAGCCTTCTGCTTTTAAATATATAGTCTACTACACTCTTCCTGATCCTGATGTCCCTTAAAAGGAAAACACAGAACGTTCTGTCGTCTCCTACGAACAGAAGCAGGATGTTCTCTGCAGTTAATATACGCTCACAAACTCAACTACAAATCAAATTTGAGATTGTTAAGAAATTCAAAATAAGTTGAAATTTATATGGTCTATTTTTGACCTTTATTTATCTGCAGTGTTTTGTAAGAACACATTCCCCCAAGACCGCGCACGCTGGTATCAGTTGTTCGCGGGTGGCCTTCCTAACCCAAACAAGCCCTTTGCTCCAGCAGCAGCAGGAACAAGTCTGCAGCAAGAAGCTGACGAGCCATCAGAGGACAGCCTTTCTCTGCATAGGGTGTGCAGATCCCTATTTCTATGACAAGGGTCCTCAGCTGATGAAATTCACAACTGGATGCATACATTATGAAAATGCTCTCATCTCCTGCATTAAGGTACAGTGAGACATTCGTGTCCCTTTGATGACGCTAATAGTTATTTTGATTTGACTCACATTTTTGCCCTCAAGACTACTTTCTGCGAGATCAATAACGAAAGTTCTGACTTCAGCCATTTCAATGGAACACACGGATTTTATTTAACTATTTCAAATGGATTACTGGAATTTTAAACCAGTTATGACACCAGAAATGCCTGTCATTACAACTACATTAATGTAATGTGAGAAGCTTGGCTTCCTTCTGCTGGAAACACAAAAAATTAGGTGGCAAGTAGAATAAAAAATAGTTGAA